TACATACATACATACACACATACATACATACATACATACATACATACATACATACATACATACATACATATGTGTATGTATGTATGTATGTATGTATGTATGTATGTATGTATGTACGTATGCATGTATGTGTTTATGAATTTATGTATGTAGGTATGTATGTCTATGTGAACATAAATACATACATACATAGATATATGCTTACATATGTGTACATACGTGTATATGTAGACATATGCATCTGTTTCCGTATCCGTATACACGACATATGTATACATACACAAAACACATATACACACGTACACACTTACACCCGTGCACACACACACACACATCTACAAACCTACACTCTTGTATGCATGCATACATACATACATGCATGCATACATCACGTACATTACATGCAAGCATCCACGCAAGCATGTATACATAAACTTACAGCAGGAGCTTCTGGCGAGGAACCACCGGCATTGCTCTTACGATTGACGGAAAGCCAAAGATACTAAATCAAAAGAGCTTACATTGAATAAGTTCATGAACAGACGAACTCAACGAAAAGAGATGACAAACGACTCTGCAAGAAAGGACCAAGGTAGATAGATTTAGGGTATGATTCAAATTCAAAGTGAGCGAATCTCAGCCAGGAGGATTCCGCGAGATCAACTCATTACGAAGTGTGATGCTCTTCTGAGGACCTTGCAGAGTTGGCAGAACACAGGGTGAGGCCTCCAGTCTTGCACTTCTATTCACGAATGCCGACACCTCCCGGCGTCCCGGCCTGTAGGCATTGGGATCTTCTCGATCCCGCTCGCTTGTCTTGTCGCTGGAAACGACCCGCTTCAGGATCTGGAAGCCAAGCAAGAGATTGAGATTTATGCAACCAGCCCAAAGTACTTTGGCGTGACTCGTTTACCAAGAGCTGCAAGCTCTTTCACAAGTCAGAATCGCTCCACACGCCTTCTTGGCTTCAAACTTCGCTTCTTCGTAGCTGTACTTGAGCATGAACTGACTATACCTTCGCGAAGCAGAAGCACGTGCGCAATGCCTGCTTCACCTGCCGCCTATGGTTTTCCCTATCGACACCTTCATGCATGGCCGCGAGTGCCCCTTACAGATCTTAAAAACTGCACGACCCTCAGACTTGGCAAACGCGCAGGCCTCGTCTCCCAACAGCTATAGATCATGTATCGCTGGAAGACTGTGAGCTGCTTCAGCACATTCCACCTGTTTGCAGCACCAAACTCTCGAGGCGCCTGCTTCCAGCCTACATTGTGACATCAACCTCCAACAGGGGCAGCCCTTCAGTAAGTGTCCGACGCCACGCTGCTTAAGAAGGGGTTCGGCTTGGCCTCAAAAGCATGAACGGATCACAGGCGTGGACTTGCGGACATGTCCGTGTGCCTGTTCTAAATTTACAGGGCGCAATTCTCTTACTCTCTCGCTGAGTGTTTGGCTATGGAAATGGCTGGCAGCAGGTGCTTGTAGATGATGGCCACAAGCCTGAGAGAACTTGCATGGGTAGACGCTGTAAGAGCTTGCTGGACCATCCTCTAAGCCTGCTAAGCATTATATACGACTGCGTACTCACCCATTCTCGCCGACAAGTGGCTTGTCGTCCAGGGTGCGATTGGAAGGCGCTGCGCCTTGGGGCTCCGGATAGCGTCCTATTCCTGCACTTCACACTTCCCGGGTTGCACTTGCCTCCCTTGACCAAGCGCGCAACTATTCGCAGATGCCGCAGCCATTGCGGTGTTGCTGCCTTCCGGAATCTCCCTGACAAGGCAGAGTGGCTTGAGCTTCGGTGTGCGTCGGCAAAGAGATGTGTCGTAACTGGGTCACTGATGGCTAGGCTGCCAGCTTGAGCGACAAGGCAATGACCTGCAAGGGCAGTTCCAAGAGAGCGCCTCCCTTTGCACGATGGTTCATGGCCTGCTCACACCTGCAAGTTAGTTCATAGAACCCCACACGTGGCACAACTGGGCAAAGCATTGTGTGCTCGTGAGAGCAAGGTCTCTGCACCCCTACCCAGACACCGGCCCATGCGCCTGCCACATGCAAGTTAGCAAGGCATTGTCCTCAGGTTGTCCGTGTTGGCACATGACAGCATCGGTAGCACGGCAAATTGGCCGAGCCACTGTGTGCATGTAGTACTCCAAGTGATCAAGCACCTGCGGAGCAGATGCCAACTCAATGGTTCGGCAGGGCGAGCAAGATTTGAGTCACAGGTTGAGGTAGCTTGCACTGCACACAGGTCACAGGAAGTAGTACCGCCACTCCGCTCCAGTATTAACAGTCTTGACTCTGTGACTCACTTTGGCTGCAGACCCAAAACGATCTAAGCCCTGGTAGAGTTTTCCGAGCGTTCCATCGACAACCCCTTTTGCACATCCATCCTAGCCGATGGTGCCCATCTGGCCTGCTTGCAGGCTGGAAGGAAGTCCTGCAGGTCAACGGCCTGCTTCACAAGGCAGGAATCGGAACTTTCTTTACGAAGTGTTCCGTTCAGGCACTGGGTTTGGGGCCTGCCGGAGGTGCCCTGGAACAGGGCCAGCACCTTCCGCATCAACTGCTCAGAGCTTTGCCGTGCATTCGGTCACACGTGCTCCGAGTACGGCCGCGTCAGAGCAGCTGAAGCCCGGCATGAGTCGTTCACATATGAGCAGAGCATCCTAAACTGCAGATGTGCAGCGAGCCTGCCGGCAGCATGGCCACACCCCACGCAAACCGTCGGATGTCCCTGAGAGGGAAGATGTAACTGTTGGGCGGATAAAATCGGATGAAGGCAGGAGGAGTCCTACTGCGCAAGCCTTTCGGGAAGTGCCTGTCCGTACTTGCAAATCCCAGGCTGGGTACCAGGCTTGTTGTAGCGAGGTATACCTTTCGGCGAAGCAGTGTTCCGAAACGGCTCAAGGTACAGCTGCTGTTGAGTCACGGCCGACCGGTTGGATAGCTGCTTGCTGCACAAAACACAGATTGGCGGCCAGCCTTGCTGCGACTTCGGAAGCAAAGGTTCGATGATCCACCTCAACTCAACTCGAAACGACTCAAAATGCGAAGCTTCCACAAAGCTCGCGTGCTTGAATCCTACGATGTCCCGGCACGATGCATTCAGCGAGACGGCGAGCCGGACTCGAAATACTACTGGCCCACATCTGAACAGCGGAAAACCCATACACTGGGACCCGCATGGCATTTTGCCAAAAAAATAAGACCGAGAGCGAAGCTTCAGCAGGTCACACCTTTGCGCAGTGGCCAGTGCTTGGGCTCTGTAGTCGTTGCTTGTCAAGTCGTTGCAGAAGCAAACAATGCGGCTTTTTGGCAGTCTCGCAAACATTCAAAAAGGAAAATGCCAACGATGCAAGGGCTGTGCAAACGCCAGAAGTGGCATCGTCCTAATGCGAATGTAGCTAGGAGCCGCAACACCTGATTCCTCCTAAAAAGTGCAGCAGGCCATCACCGAAACTGAACAGGGCGGCACGGAAACAGTTAAGTTTTAAGCCCGCGGCAAAGCTTGCCGAATGTAGTGGTTCATGCAAGGGCGGCAGATCCTGCCGCTGCACGAGCATGCTTGTTAGTTGAATGAACTGACGACAGGAGGTGGCAACAGGACGTACACCATAACCCTCAGCTTTACCTGTACTGCACATGATGCGAGGCATGGGCGGACAGTTTTGGCTGCACATTCTTCCGCCGTTGTGGAAGGGGGGGCACATGCCCTCCCGTCCGTCGCCATAGCGCTTACGGCAAAGGCAATAGAAGAAAGAAGCAAGCAACTGCAACTGCGCACGCAGCTGAGACCAAAGGTCGCACAGGTTGCACACACACCCGACACGCAAGCAATCAACGCAATCGACATTGATTCAAGGCAAAGCAGAAACGCGCAACCACCATACACTGGTACATGTGTAAGGGCACCTGCCCACGTGACGCCTGTGTAGCAAGTCCATCTGTAACCCCGTTGAGGGCGCATGAAGCGCCCAAAGCGCTGAGACACTTCACACAAACCCAGCATCAGCCGGAAGCAATGCACCCAAAGTGCCGGCTGCCAATCGGAGTGGCCATCCATCCAGTATCCACCCACCAGGAACCACTTTGGAGTCCAAGCAAAGCACCCGAAGTGCTGCTACACGGTCAATATATACCATGTCGACTGTGAGTCGTCATTGCAATTATGCGCCAGATGACACGCCAAAGCACCCATGCGCAATACCCTTCCAGCCCTGCGTCCAATGTACAGACCTCATAATGATCTCCCAACACACCACTCGGCCGGCAAGCCTTGCCATAAGCAGAATCTGGACTCGTGGCTGCCGAAGGGTCGTGTTGCACAGCACGATGATACAGCACCCTCTTCCACGCCGACCTGGATCTGTAGCCTCCATGTCAATGGCGTAGTCTTCAGGCTGTGCACTGTAAAGCGGCGCGCCTCCTCCACTGCCAAGAAAGTATACTTGACCAGACAGCGCCGCAAGTGCGCCAAGGCCGTGGCGTGCGCCATTAGCCCTTCTGTAGAAGCGTAGAGGAACTCAGCGCCCAGCCACTGCTCGCAGCCATTGCCAGTGGCCCCCGAAACTTGGCAACTCCAAGCAAACCCTGTGGGACACGTCTTACCTATTCTTACTTCTCCAACACCACCCCCGCAAAGACCTGTCTGCAACCTGAAGAGGTGATAGCTCAATACGTTGCGCATCGGAGAAACGTAGCCCAGACCATAGCATAACCAGGTAGCGACCCAAGCGACCCATTAGAAAACGATCGATCCGTGCCGCCAGCTGGTAACAAAGCTGAAACACGCACTGCGACCGGGCGCGGCTCATCGCCTCCCTTGGATGAAGGACGCACCTCCAACTCCGGGTTTCGCCACTGCATGCCGCAGAGGCACAAGGACAAAGAACAGCACAAGCAACTGACTTTTCAGCAGACGAAGCTGTGAATATCTGTAATACCAGAACAGACGAACTGCTGCGACCTGATACAAGCACAACTGCACACAGGTGTGAGGGTTTCGTGTATGCGGCGGCCATATCCCATCCTACCCCGCCGCAGACTACCCGTCACCGCGGTTGCCCCACCCTTGAATCATCGTTGCAACGAGCCTGCGGAGCTGTGTCAGCATGACGCAGGCATTGCACCAGTCCTTAGCAAGCCGCCCGACCTACTCCTGAGACTGTCAGGTAGCATGAAGAAGGACATCGACTCTGTTAAGTGCTTCCCCCATATGGAGTTCATCACTCTAGGGCCTCCACATTAATGCTGATCATCGCCTCCACCAGCCGGATCTTCTGATTGAGCATGAGGTTGAAGTTCTGGCTCGCGAGACGTTGATGTTTCTCTTGCAGGCACAGGAGAACCAACAGAGCATGAATTAGCTTTGTAAAACCTGCAAGCCCCCCCAGCGGAGATGAAAACATCGAAGGAATCTGCTAGTATCAAGCTTCTGCTCACAAAGGCCTTTGCACAGCCATTGAAGTAGCGTTTGTCCTGACAGGAAAGCCACGGGAATCAGAGTTGCTTTGTGTGACCCAACTTGGCCAAATCACTGGCATCCCATCAACCGCTGCGTGTCACTTTGGGGTGCCAGCAACAAAATACAACAATACTACATGAGAGTTTCGGTTGGCCTCATGCTATGCTGCTATGTAGAATGCAGCTGCCAGGCCTTGCTTCGAGCCTTCACTCTAGCGGTTTGGCTTCGTAGGGTTGCTGTGCGGAACTATGCCTCAGAAGAACCCATTCCGAGACTCCTGAAAAAAGCGAGACGACTCTAAACGTGTCTTGCACAGTTGCGAAGACAGAACAGGGTGGCGATGGCAAACCCTGCTCTCGCAATGGACAGACCCAGGAGTGGCCGCACAGAGAAGTGCACTAACCGCAACCCGGAGCCCTCCCTAGATCTGACCGAAAACTCTGCCTTTCTATCCCTCTTCCGTGTTCACGACCGCGAAGTGGCGAGGCATGTGCAGACTGCACTGACTGTCCCGCGCAAGGTTTTGCTTTCCGCTGAGATCCACGATGCTCACGGTCTTCAGCTTGGCCTGTAGCAGGATTTCGTGCCCGACAGTCGCACTACGAGTAGTTCTGCCTGACCCGGCCTCGTATCTGAAGTTCAGGTGAGACCACGCCCTAGACAACGTGAAGCTGTTCGATGAGTCTTCACTACGTGCGCATTAACCAAACACTTCAAAGAGCCAATGCTTGGGAATTGCTGAGCACGCGGACTCCTGGATCTTCTTTTCGCTTGGCTCCAAGTAGGACCACACCATCTGACAAAAGGGGCACACAGGCGCAGGAGCCGCAAGCCTCCGACCCTGGACACTATAATAAAAATTATACCAAAGACATACTACATTGTACTATTATAAAATAAAATTGTATTTCAGTATAACCTTTTATATTTTACGATACTACCTATATTATGCTGCTATACACTCTGTTGTACTATCATCTATTCTAGTATCGTTATAATCCTTCTTTCGGGCTCTTGAGACCTCTTGGGCTCGGGCTCTCAGGTCCACAAGGTTCAGGGAGATCAGCGAAGCGGTGGCCACGAACTGCGACGCCCTCCAGGGAGGACCCTAACCCTAAACCATCCTAAACCATCCTAAACCCTAAACCCCCAAGTCGTGTTTATCTAGTGGGCTCCTTTTCTCACTGCTGCTACGAGCGAAAAAAGGCCCAGATCAGGATGAGCCGTTTGGGAGGAGAGCGGGTTTAGGGTTGGACTGGCTCCAGGGGAAAAGCTCATGATACGAATGCGTTGGTGCACGTCTCAGTTCTGACATACCCACATATCTGGGCAGCTCGAAGCTGAAAGCAGCGTGAGCAGAAATCAAGTCGAAGGCAGGTCCAGGTGAACAAGAGAGCCGACGACCTACACCTAGCACCCCAACCAGCACTTCTAGACTGTCCGATGCTCTGACGAGTTGGTGCCGGCGCCTTGTCACTGGAATGAAGTAAAGCTTTCTAGTCGGAGCAATTTGCATTTTGGCGTGTCAGATGAGGCGTACTGTCTGACTCAATCCCGGCTTGCTCCTGACGTTCGGCTCGGGTGGCTTCGCATCTTTGCCTGCTGGCAAGATGGCAAGAGTCACTCTCTTCCAGCATCCCCACAGCTCTCAGACATGCCATCACATGCGCTTACAGCCAAGACAGCTTCCCAGTCAAAGCGGCTTGCCTCCCACTGCTGCTGCCGGGGGCTGCCCCGGATGCAGCAGGAATGAGGCGACCTCACAATGGATCGGGCAAGGGTGTTGTTGAAAGTCCAAGGCTTGGAAAACTTGGCCACAGCATGCACGACTTCTCGCTTCGGTACATCCACACATGAAAGACAATCCGTGCGTGCTCAATCTCAACAAAACGCTTGAAGGAGAAACAGTATAGGCAGTGTAGGTCTAGATACGGCCCTTGGCTTATTGGTTCACAAACCTGTACAAAATGTGCGTATGTGTGCGTGGCAGGTGAGCCTTCGAGACTCGGTCGCGGCTAAACCGGCGAAGCAGCGCCAACTGAGACGTCCAAGCATTTCCGACTCTCTCTCTTCCACACGATCACCGGCAAGACAATGTTAGCATTAGCTACACGCACGGCAACCGATCTTGCTTCTCGCAGCAAAGGTGCCGGAATATAATTCCCATACCCGCAAGCTGATACAGAAGTCACGCTGCAAACCGAGCCAACCGCGATGGCTTGAGGCTTCTTGCTCGGCTCTGCCTTCAGAGAAGGGGAGACTTCGACTCTGTGCTTTCGTGGCGTTCTCTCCACCCGCTTCCCGTCGATCCTACCTCTGGCAGACACCCGTGCCCATCCTTGCCTCCTCAATGATGATGCGCTCGTAGATGTCGATGGCCATCGCGATGATCCTGACATGCGACTGCACACCCGGCAGCCTGCCGTAAGTCTTCCAGAAACACCTCCAAGTTATTACTGGTTCTGCGTTTTAAGATGAACTCGACAAAAAACAAGAAGATCCAGCGCTGACTCTCAACTTGTCCACTGTGCTGCGATGCCTGTTCGGACAAAGGTAGCTGTAGCCCATCAACAGCATGACCTCGGAATTTGCAGCACTACACTGCAGCCGATCCAGGCAAGCCGTCACAAATGCACTGCATCGTTGCAGCAGACTGGGCCATCCGACATCATCGATCACGCTCTCGCGTGTTTTTGTGAGTTGCTCGGCCGTGCCCTGTGCAAGGCACGTTTGCTTGTATAGCAAACTGATGGCATGGCCACGCCTTCCCCTGAGAAAACTCCAAGGACACATGATCGAATGAGTACTGACGTACCAGCATGCTTCATGCATGGTACGGGCCGTGTTCAAGCTTTTTCTCGTGGCAAATCCCAAGGCGGCCATGAGCACCCTATGATACGCTCACATCGACTCTGCAGGCAAACGAGATGCATCTTTCGTTGTGCATACGAGCGCTGTCAAGAGGCTGGAGCACCCGACTGCCTGTGCAGGAGCCCTTGCTTTAGTTGGCCTCTACATCCATCTCCAAGTGGAGCAGCCGGTCTATGTACATGATCCTGGCAAGGGCACGAATGATAAGAGAATCTTGCAGAGATCCAGTCCCACAGAACTGTAAACAGCTGAAGACACGTATGGAAACTAAGGGTCCGACAACCTGGCGTAGCCCTCATTGTGCTCTCTCAGCAGGTTGAACCTGCCGCGGCGATGTGCTGGTTTGGAAAGGACAAGCCAAACTCGACCTGTCTCGGTGGCTGAGTATTATGCAATGGCTACAATACCCTCCATGGCACGGCGGTCGCAGCACATGGTAACGTCAACTTCAACACAAGTTCCGTGCTTGGGTGCAGAGCTCGCTGATTCGCATGCTGTCAGTCTAGATCTTCAGTCGTCAGCACGAATGCACTTTTTGCCATGAGGCCCAACTGACCAGATACAACAAAGCAGTATGGCAGAGGGTTTCGAACAGCACTTGACTGTGCTGCGAGCGTCTCTGGCTCTAGGACTCTAGGCATCTACTCTCTCAAGAAGACGGGCCTGAGAAAAGCAGCTCAAACAACTGCCTGGAAATAGCACGGAAATAGCGGAGGTGGCAAGCTGGTCAGTCAGAGCCGTCTGCCACGATCTGCTTGCTATCTGCTTGAGCTGTGGCATTAACAACAGTCAGCTCTACAACATCCGCTTGTGCGGAACTGAAGCTAGAATCAGAACCACGATGACAAAGCGAGGACAAGCGCGCCAATCTACTCTGCTGCCAATTTGTTGAAGAACCTCAAAGGATTATATGGAAGTCCAAACATGAACCGCAGAACAGCACGACACCTTTAAAGGCACGACGGAACCGAGACAAGCTCTTCACCATTGTTTTCCCAGACTACTGAGACATATGAAGGCCCGAAACAACGCTGCCTAGTATGACAGTATGACAGTATGAGCAGGCCTGCAACCCCGAACTTACGTGCTCCTCGCAGAGCAAATAACAACAGGTTCTACCTCGTAGGTCCTAGATGAGACACCGACACAGGCAAACTGAGGGAGACCCGTATCATGTTCACGGACCACAAGGTGTCCTCAAAACAATGAAGCACTTTCACGCTATTGCTGAGCATTCAACACCGGACGACTGTCTCTGCTTCCCGTGTACACTCGAAACCCGCTTGATACACTCGAAGCTCGTCATCTTGTTCGACTTCACCTTGGTTTTCTCACCCGGCGTCGTTTAGCCAACTGATGCCAACTGTCTTGGCTTCTGGATAAATTAGAATCTCAGAACTGCCTGAACTTGCACATTCGTGATCTTACATGTACACCGGCAAGCAATCTTATCTACCGAGGATGGTCTCTAGCAATGCCGTGCGACTGTCTGACTTTCTCGACACCCCCGCTTGCCAAATCATGGACTAAGCAAACAGACGCAAGCAACAGGCTTGTCTGTCACACAGCAACAGCCCAAAATGATAACAAATGCCTAACTGGTGAATGGAGCTTAAGGAGGAGACTAATCAGCGGATCAACATAGCCACATGCTTGACGAGGTCATAACTGTTCTTGCGTCTTCGACAAAACCTTGCTCTGCGATTGCAGTCTATTTGCACCCAGGTGTCACCGACTGCGGCGTGCTGCAGAAACTCTGCCGTACCCGTGGGTTGATCTCCACTTGCAACAGTGGTTGCTACTCTTGCCCGGATGCGGAGGTTGATCCGGCATCACTGACTTTGACTTTCATAGGAGACATGCCTGCTTCTCAACATTCCGTATCATAACTAATTTGCTGGATCTCCCGCTGATATCCGCTGATCTTGGGCAAGCACACTACTCGAGAACGGTGGCTCAAGATTCAGATGATCATGTGACGTAGCATGACCTGGACATGCCCTGCATCCAAGAACTTATCGCACTGTGTAGTTTCGGACGAGAGTCCGAAGCAGATGCCATCACTTAGGGACATGTCAACACTCTCCGACTCGTCTTGGAAATAACTTTCAGCTTTAGATAGCGCAATTCCTCAACTAAATAACTTTACCCATGAATCAAAATGCACGTTTAATCGATTAACATTTTACAGTTAACTAGACTGCCGCGATTTCCTTGGAAGCAGAGAACTGGACAGCACGGGACATGCGGAATGTAGGCAACATGTGAAAGCCATGCTATGTTCCGGAAGCATGCCACATTGCCCCTTACTTATCTGATTCAGTGCCGTTCCGCTGTGCTGCAGATTTGGAAGAAATCGAGTCGAAACCTCTCCTGCCAGAAATGTCATGGAATTCGGATTTTGATGCTGGAGCATGAATCCGTTTAGCCTCTCGGTAGGCAAACCTCTGGCAGGCAAAGCTGGGACTTCGCCACTGGGGTGTCCGTGATTCGGTCGAGCCATAAGAACTCAGCAAGAGGTGCTAGCCGCTGGCCGAAATCTACCGGAAGCATGCCTCTCTGCGCAGATCTACCTTGGATGCCCGTCAGAACTCAATGCAAAGTCCTCAACTCCACCTTCACTGGACCAATGGGATTAAGCTAGCGTCCTCCGCTAGCGTCAGGAACAAGCTGGTCGAATTGACTGCAGAGACGTGCAAATGGATAGCTTCAAGAATGGAGCCCTCTTTCCGGATTCAGTCTGTGCCGCCGAAAACTACCCACTTGACGTCACCAAGGGCTACTACCGAAGAGCTCCTGCAAGTGAAACACGAAGCGTGCTCATCTCGGCAAAGGCGCAACTAACAAACTGAAAGTGCTACAGTACAAGAGCTCCACGGAAGGACCTACCGAAAGGGACACGTCGAGATGGAGATATGCCTGCCGGGCCCTTCCCAGCACGAAGCATTTCAACATCCTCACTGTCCCAACTCTGGATCGCGCCCTCCTATTTCTGTTGACGAAATCTCTTGCCGCTTTCCAGTGTGGATACGACTCACAACCAGCTGGTGCTACTGTCAATCCTACCAAGAATGCATGCCTGCAAACCTGACAAGAGATCTCGCGTACGTTAACATGACAAGGTGCACAACTGACAGCAACTGTACCTAACTTCCAAGTGGAAGTTTCCTTCATCCACGTGAGGATCTGCACGCGGTTGATCACTATGCGCAAAAATCAGAAAGTCGAACGCTGACAATGCCGACATGGCAGCTGAACTGTGCTGCAGACTGGCCTAGTGGGCCTAGTAGTCCAGCTTGCATGCACCAGAACCGCAAATTCAAATGACCTTCCTCTGCGGAAACCAGAGGCATGGATCGAAGTCATAACGAGTTAGCTCGACTGGATGCGAGACTGGTTACGACAGCCTTCTCGCAAGATCCTGCATCAGTCCCACTTGTGCTGCCTGCTGGGCGCTTATTGAGAAGCCTGCAGGCCAGCTGCCTGTCCAAGCCAGTCAGGCCAGCAACAACCGATATTCTTGATGTTTCATGCGGTCCCCAAACAGTAATACAAATCTCTAAGTTCGATGGTCAACAACACCTCTGCAGCTCACTCGATAAATCACGTCAGCATGAACTACCCGGGCTTCGTTGGTCACTCGTTTCTCCCTTCCCTGCCCGGCGACTGCAGAGAGGACTGCTACAAGCACCGCCCATTGAAGAAGCCTCGTTGTTGCGTGTGCCAGCTGCACGAACTGGTTGTTGTTGCTGCAGCTGTTGCACCTGCGTGCAAAGAGCTGCGAACTCAGCAACGGATGCCTTAAGGATGCTTGTGCTTACAAGAAAATGCGAGACGTGTGTCGCGATGTGTGCCGTCTGTGATCCGACTCGTGTGTGTCCATGTGTGTGTGTGTGTGTGTGTGTGTGTGTGTGTGCGTGTGTGTGTGCGTGTGCGTGTGTGTGTGTGTG